CTCCGAGGGAGATGCTCCGAGAGGCGCGAGCAGCAGGTGGCGATCGCCGACTTGGCAGCGCGCCCGCGGCCAAGGGGGCGCTACTGCGCGAGGCGTCGCGCGTTTCGAGCCCGAGCCCCTCCGGAGGCGGCCCGACGAGCGCCCGCCAAAGCGCCCATCGCCAGCCGCCGCGCCCACGGCGACCGCTCCCCGAGCGCCCCGGCTGCGAAGAGAGCGCGGACGGCAGGCCTCGGGGAGGGCCCAGGCAGCGAGCGGCCGTTGGCCGAGACGCCCGAGGCTGCTCCTTGGGCGCCGCCCCGCACAACGGGCGCCGCGGGGGGCGCAGGGCGAAGCTGGCCTGGTAGCGCTCTTGCGGCCCGCCGCCGAGGCGCGCCCGCAGCCGGTGAGGGAAGAGCGGCTGGCAGGCGGCCCAAGGCCGCCAGGACGTCCTCTTCCTCTCCTTCCTGCCCCTGCGAGGGCGAGGGCCCGCGGGCGCGCCCAGTCGCGTCGGCTCGACCCGCGCGCCCTGGCTTCGCTCGCCTCACCTCGCCTCCCCTCCTCTTGGCGGAAGGCCCCCTTCGGGTTGCCCCCTCTCGCGGCGCCCCGCGCCGCCTTGCCGCGCCACGGGCCGGCGCTCCCGTCGGATCGCTCGCCGGCGGGCCCAAGCTGAGCGGCGGGGGCCCTGCGCCGCCTTCCCGGTGCCCTCGCTCGCCGCCATGCACAGGCCTTTGGCGCTGTGTCTTGGACAGGCGCGCTGCCGCCGCTCCTCGCGGGTGGGGGCCCCCTCAGGCTACCATCTCCTGCGGGGGCTGCTGGTGTCGCCGGGCGTCCCTGCCGCCTCCCGTGCCTTGCCCGCCCTTCGCCCGCCCTGGCTCCTCCCCCTCAGTTGGCAGGCCCGCGCTTGGGCCCGCTCAGCTCGGTCTGCCAGTGGCGTGCTACCACAGTCTCAGGGCTGGCCGCATCGTGTTTTCCTGATTCTCCTGCCTGCCCTGTCGCTCTCTGCCGCCCCCACCCCGTGGCCGGAGGGTTCCAAGTTGGGTTTTTGGGGAGGGGGTTTTCCAGGAGGGGTCCCCCAGGGTCTTCGCACCCCCAGTTTGGACGAGGTTCCTAGGCCCCTGGGGGGCTTTCTGGAAAACCCTCCTCCCCCCAACCCCCCGTTGGAACCCTCAGGTGTGCGGCTGCGGCCATGTTTATATCCGCCATCTGGCTTGGCCTGCCAATGGCTCCTGGCTCTGCTTGCTGATTGTCTGGCATGCACCACGGCCGTTCGACCACGGGGCGCCGCTCAGCGGTGGCGCCCCGCTTCTCTTCCTCTCCTCATTCCTGGGTCGTGCCCTCTGTCGGCGTTTCGCCCCCCAATTGCACCTTCCGCGTCCTGCACCGCCCGTCTCTTCCGCTCTGGCGCCGCCCAAGAGCTGGCAGGCGTCTCGGTCTTACCACGCCGCCCGAGAACGAAACGAACCACATGCAGCGATGGGTATAGCTAACGTATGTATGCGAATGGGGTGTGACATCGCCAGCAGAGGATCAACACAAATGTGTGTGCATCATGTGTGTGCTTGTGTGAGGTATGTTGTGTGTTGTGTGTCGTATGTGCTGTGAGTATTGTGTTGTGTGTACTGTGTATTGTGTATTGTGTGTTATGTGTATTGTGTGTTGTGTGTTGTGTGGGCTGTGTGTGTGTTGTGTGTGTGGGGTGTTTGTGTGTGTGGGTGTGTGTGTGATGTGTGTGTGTGCTGTGTGTGCTGTGTTTGTGCTGTGTGTGTTGTGTGTGTGTTGTGTGCGGTGCGTGCATGTGTTGTGTGTGTGTGTTGTGTGTGTTGTGTGTGGTGTGTGTGTGCGTGTGTGTGTGTGTGTTTTGTGTTGTGTGCTGTGTGTGTTGTGTGCTGTGTGTTGTGTGGTGTGTGTGCTATGTTGCGTGTGATGTGTGTTATGTGTATGTCGTGTGTGTTATGTGTGCGTTGTGTGTTGTGTGTGGTGTGTGTCGTGTGTTGTGTGTTGCGTGTGTGTGTGTGTGTGTTGTGTTTGGTTGTGTGTTGTGTGTGTGTTGCGTGTGCGTTTGCGTGTCCGTGCGCGTGCGCGTGTACGTGTACGTGTGCGTGTCCGTGAGCGTGAGCGTGTGCTTGTACATTTGCGTGTGCGTGTGCGTGTGTGTATGTGTGTGTGTGCGTGCGTGTGTGTGCGTGTTCGTACGCGTGCGCGTGCGCGTGCGCGTGCGCGCGTGTGTGCGTGCGTGTGCGTGCGCGTGTGCGTGTGCGGGTGCGGGTGCGTGTGCGTGTGCGTGTGCGTGTGCGTGTGCGTGTGCGTGTGTGTGTGTGTGTGTGTGTGCCAGCTCTGCGCCCACCTTTTCCCCGCTTGACGCTCAGTCCAACGCCCATCCCTGCGTTCCTCCCGACGATGGGACCTCCGACGACGACGGCGACGCCGCCGCCCCCGACGACGCTCTCGACGCCGCTCCATAGCCAGCCGACGCTCTCAATCCGACGGCCTTCCCGACGTCGCGGCCCCCCTGGGCTGGCGA